GTCTAGGTGGTGTGCCATTCGATCGTCTCACAGACACCACAACCACTATTCCGGTCAGACGAAACGGCTCGACAAACGTGCCGACTGAGAAGTAGCTGTGTGCACTGGTCGAGTGTGAGTGGTGTGATGTGGTCGGAGGAATGCATCTTCAAGTGTTTCACGTGGTCAGTGGTCAGTGGTAGTTTAAAGACACCTGATAGGATGAGGCTCCTCCGTCACTCGAACTCGGGTCACTGGATTCGCAGGTGACAGTGGCAACCGCCACACCACCAGACAGTAGATGCACGCTCACCGCATACATAACATCACACATTCACACCACACATACAAACGACACGACATGCCATCAACAACATCGTTTCACTCACACAAAATATCCCACAGTGCACGCCAACAGTGCAATCACATACACACCTGCTCACTCACTCACTTGCTCGCTCATGCAATGTCACACACACACACACACACACAAGCATCAATACTGCAACAGTGTGTGAAATACAATGGCTCAATTACACATATGCGTAATCACATGCAGGTGCAGAAGTGTGAAGTAGGAGGAATCTGTGTGCATATGTGGTAGCCTCCTGGACATGTGTAATTGGGACACGCGTACGTAGTGGTGGGTGTGTGACCGCAATCGGTCGAACTCAAACGACATAGTAGTTTGTGAATCACAGTTTGCTGTTCAGCCTGTTGATTGACCAGGTGATTGATCAGACTGAGGAGTGGTGTTGAGTGCAATGGTGAAGTGTGATTGGAACGACGTGATCGAAGGGTAGTTGCGAAGTGATGCACATGGAGAGTGATAAATTCAAAAGTGCCCATATCACTAGGCCTCGCCGAGAATCGAACTCGGGTCGCTGGATTCAAAGTCCAGAGTGATAACCGCTACACCACGAGGCCACGTTCGCTCCCGACAGTGACAAATATGATTATTTGATAACATGTATTATGAATTTACTTGAGATATGAACAGCACATCCAAATGAAATAAATCTATAATTCCAATAGCACAGGAATCAGTTTCTGAATAAAAATCAACAAAATTTGTTCTGGTTCTAAGTCCAATGAAGAAATAATAAACTGACTGCCGTTAACGTTACATAATAAAATCTGAGGTTGGTTAATCTGTCCAACTGTTGATTCTTTTTTAATTGATCTAGTCTCGTTGGCGGTTGTCACTTAACAAATAAATGGCTCAGCAATGACTTTTGCGAATAAATCACTAGAATTTTGATATGAGAAAAAGTATTACTCAAGTGGTTTAAGACTATAGTTATGGAGATTAAAAGCAAAGTAATATCACGGTTGTTTGTTAATAAGGTAAAATATTTTGCATTGTCCATTGTAATTACTCCATAACCGAAAATTGGAAAGAATTAATATCATGAAGACCATTCACCATAATTAACATGTTAAATCCGCCCGAGGATCGAACCAAGCGACTGAGTGATGCATTAAACCCCGAAATCAAAACACGAGATTTCTTTACAATACTCCATTATTATCAATAATGTTCAAAACCAGTGGATTTTATAAACCATAATTCACTAGGTATTTAGATCGCTTATAAGCGTCAAGGTACAGCTAAATAAGAGGTGTTTTCTGTAGTAGTTATCTAAGAATTATTTACAGGAAATGTTCGGTAAGCTAAGTAACAGCCAGGAGATATATCAACCCAACGATGGCAATCAACAAATCGAAACGAGAACTGCGCAAGGGAATTATGGAAACTGTTATAAATGAACATATATTCAATGAAAATATATGGAATAAAGACAATCTTTCACAATTGATTGATCACTGGGTGGTGATCAATCTCATGCTTGTCTAGTCCTTATTAGTGCAGATCGAATGCTATCGATCATGTTGCAATGTGGCCACCAGTCTAGGTGACTCGACACTGCGGGCACTATGTATTGAGATTAGATGGTGGTTGGAGGTAGTCAACAGGAAACCCTGGACCCGGGTGTGTCGAGTCACCTAGACTGGTGGCCACATTGCAACATGATCGATAGCATTCGATCTGCACTAATAAGGACTAGATAAGCATGAGATTGATCACCACCCAGTGATCAATCAATTGTGATTACATCTCAGTCCTACAGGAGGTTAGTCACGGCTCGGATAGCTCAGTGGTAACGTCTCTGACTGTGAAGCTGGGTGACACGAGATCGAATCCGCCAGGGAGCACCAGTTCCCTCAAGATTACAGGTACACCTTGCTGACGAGTGCCAAGTAGCACGAAACCCGGGTCCAGGGTTTCCTGTTGACTACCTCCAACCACCATCTAATCTCAAAGACAATCTTTAGAACTGCTAAGAGAATACAATTATAATAATAGGTGGATTAAATGTCATAGACTCATGTAGATATTTTGAATGATCAGAAAACGACGTACAAGTTATTTGATATGTTCAGAAATGATTGACATTGATATAAGTTACTGAGTATTAGTAAGTAGCATAGTGCAATACACAAAAAGGAAAGAATAGAAATGAAAGCAGGATTGATCAAACCCCCGAATCGATAACATAATATCAAGAGGTACGGAGAGAGTCGTCAGTTATGATTGTATTTAATAGGAAAGACGTTATATTATGAAATACTAGATTGGAAGATAGTGATGTAGACGAACTTGGCATAGGCCCATGAAGCCATTGACTGTTGAATTCAGTTGGTAGGTGTAGACTACCTGATTGGGGTCCTCTTGATTATTATAGCAAATTGTTAGAAACATGAAGTAATATAGATCATAACCTTCCTAAACGCGTTCACTTATTGTCATTCCTAAAATCTTGAGTTTCAAAATCAAACTATGTATTTTATATTTCACGAATTTACATCTCGAATCACATAGTTTATGCGTAATATTTCCACCTACCACTCTAGTATCTCGCTATTACACAAAAATCCCACCTATTTAGATCTTTAAGCTTTTGCCAGTCTCCCACTAATACTAAAAATAAGTGTGTACTATACGAATGATTCTGATGTGATAAATCGTATGGGTCAGCAACTTCAAACCATTAACAATTATTTTATATAAAATGAGTAACAGTTATGGTGTATTCTAGAGATTTAATTTATATCTATGTATGGTACGAATGCTTAGCATCCTTCTAATAAATACATCGATAGCATGAATACTCCAAATATTTCGTGGCAAGTTATTCACTACAAGTTGATTTTCAGATCATAAACAATATTTTAATTATGATCAACATGAATTTTCGACTGTCTGTTGATCCTCCGCAGATTTAAGATGATAACGATTTAAAGAGAACCAACAACATAAACTAATATGAACAACTAAGGGGAACAGATCTGTTTTCTTTATAGTTTAACGTCCACAACTTTATTTTTTCGTATTCATTTTAGTTGATATACAATAAGCTATCATATCTTGAAAATTCATTTTGCACTGATGTGGCCAGTAGAAACATATGAAATAGACAAATAAGATGAGCCAATTAACACAGTTCCTTTAGTGTAGCGTAATTTGATTGATGAGATATAACACACAGAAGTAATTATCAATATTTTCGAGAAGAAAGTTAGAATTTCTAATTGTATTAAACAACTGAGATTGTTTTGTCCCACTAAACACAGTAATCCAGCAACATAGTTTTGGATGACAGGAAAATTAAGTAGAATCGTAACAATTGTGTATACGCAATAGAAAATAACTATTCATCCTATTTTCAGATATTTAAAACATTTCTAGAGATCGTGAACATCTAAGACAACTAAACTCAGGGCACTAACAAAGGTAGTCTTCATTCATTTACACCATATTAAAGTTAATCAACTAAAAACAGTATAGTGTCAAGAAGATTTCACCCCTCAACACTACACAACCAATTGTAGATCCCACAAACAGTATCGAAGAAAAAAAACCTTAGCACTGAAGCTGCTTACTATTTTAAAGGAAAAAGCATGTAGAAATATCAAACAGTTTAATTCATACATTGTTAACAGGTCTGGACATTTATGTTTTCACAATAACCTGTGAATACTGATATGTTTACAAATGCTCAGAATGAAGTGTTCTTTTTGAATAAAAAAAACAGATGAAAAAACTAAACGTTGTTAAAAAGGCAATCTTACAAAAATTTTTTGAGACGAACATTTGAAAAGTACAAAATGTAGTTTTTGTAACTGAATAGTTTTTACCAAAAAACATAAATGTTCGAAAAATATCTAATAAGAAATTCAAGAATTTGAATTGGCGGCTGCCGCGGCCGCTGCTTGTGTTGCAGCTACTGCGGCAGCACGTTGAGCACCCCAATGAATATAATCAGATCGAGTTGCTGCACTATGCTCTTCAATTAAATTATGAACAACTTGTCTACTGTCAGAAAATTCTTTTAATTCTGGATCATCACGAAATACATCTTCCTTACGGAATTGTTCAATAAAAGCACCACGAGTACGTAATTTATCATACTGAGCTAAGGTACGTAGGAAAAGCTGTAAACGACAGAAGAAGATAAATAGACTGCTTAATTGAAATGATCACTTAAATAAATAGAAAACGAAAACAAACCAAGCAAATAAAAGCGGTAACCCGCCAATAACATTGGAAGATGGTTGTGCGATATCAAGAAGTGATCGAAACTAGACATCCAAACCACCATTGGATGCTGGTTCAGTGATCTAAAGGTTGAACACTCTTCGCGAGACCTAAGGGTCTTGGAGTTTCATATCCAGTGGAGTCATGGATGTTTATTGCTGAGTCTCATATTAGAACGAAATAGTTATTCAGTACTTTTTGTTTTCCAATAGGTGTCTAACTAAGACCAGTCGCGTGACGTAAACCATGTTATACATACATTTTCGGAAAATAAACTAAAGGAAGTTTGATGGGATCACTTAACTGGTAGTCATACTTAGTACAATCTATATTTTTATTGAAAATATTCTATACTTGGAATTTTCAAATTCATTTGAACATGCTTTTTCTTATATTAGAACAGTGTATTTCACAAAGTTTTGTAATTTGTAAAGGAACCATTTGCTAAAAATGACCAGTAGAGTGTTAAACATGTTAAAAATGTTAATTGTATTTTATTGTATTGTAGACTTTTTATAACATGTATTTAGTGGATTGATATTTCAGACAGAAAATTTTTTTGAATAATCTATTATATATGAATTTAGGCAACCATTTAAAGCCAAAACCAATGGTAAAATAGATTCTTTTGGGAAATTTGAATAAAGTATTTAGTGTCTAGGTTATGTTTTGTGCTGGTCAAATAAACAAGGATGTTGAATTTCGGATAAATTCAAACTATTTGGTTGCCAATGAAAGCAGAGAATGAACATCTAATATTTGACTGATGTAACTAACTTATCAAGTACAGATTTTGCAATGAATTTTGAGAGCTTACGATCCTACCATGGTGGCCAGATAGAAGTAGGCAGGGTTTAAACATGCACTTGAACAGTTGAAGGACCAGAGAATTAAACAATAAGTCAATAATCGACTCTGTCTGACTAATGACTAAATATAAAGCTTGTTTTATTCAAGTTCAAAGAGGATATTATTTTAGTTGAGGATTTATGATTACCATATTTGGAACACATGAAGACTAAACTAAGACATAGATTTCTTTGTTGGCAATATCCACTTGAATTCTAGAAACCTACCTCAAAGTTAATAACTAGTAAGCGAATGATTCTTGCTAGAATAGAAATTGGTGTTTAATGTTTAGTCTGAAGTTAGTTTTAATAACAGTCTTGTATAAGTAGGGGAACTGTTGAGAATCAGGGAGACTAACAGAAGAGTTTGTGCGTTAGTATTAATCGAATAAAGACATTTTTACGTGACTATATAGAGCTACAAAATGAAAGGTAAGTACACGCAAACACTTACAGTTGATATGCTTGTATGATTTGCAAGTAAAAGACCACTAACACGATGTGGTGTCTGAACATATGGAGATCGCCTAGACAGAGCAACTTGAATGCTAGCTGGACCCCAAGGTATAAACTGAGCCATACGGCGTTCTCGAATTCTCTGTAGTGATTTATGTACTTCAGTAGGATCGACTTCTCCTGAAAGAAAACGAGTCAAGGTAGTTAAAAGCTGATTCGCGAAATATGCCGTCAGGAATAAGGATGACTACGAATCAGATGGAGGCACAACTAGTTGACATAAATATCAAAGACAAGACCTGATTACAGACAGACTGTCAGTAACATAACATATTATCATGATCAAGAACAAATGGATTGAATGGGGGGTCGACATTTTGCAAAACTATATATTTAGCATTTTCTAAAGTTTAATTCACTTTGATAAGCTATTTTAAAAGGGACAAACAGTTATTTAGAGTAATTAAATTGTTGCATGACAGCTAAGTGAACGTACGAGGTCTATTAACTGAAACTTAACATTTTAATTTAATGTTGTAAGACATTCATACGATCATTAAAATTTGGTGACAGATCACAGAGAAATAACTGACCAGGCGAAAAAGATTAGTTGATTGGAGTGAAGAGTGCAGAGAATGAGAGATCTCATAAGTGCTTTTATATAGTGTAATAATCGATTATGTAATCAAAGTATTTAATCCTTAGTCCTCGGTAAGTTCTACACAATTCAATATTCGCTAACTATTCAAAACCACTTTTTTTATTATCTGGAATAGATATTCGGGACTTCCCATGGAGAAATATGTGGAATGTCTTCAATAGAATTGCCATCATACAAGCATATAGCATTCTAATTATAACATGCGGTAAAAACTGAACTAAGAGGCATACAAACAATTAATTACTTTTAAACAAAGCCGTTTTTAACCAATAATTGATATTTGAAGAAATTTCTAGAATGTAGCTACAGATGCAGTTTACATGTTGATCATTACAACTTAAACAAAGTAACATTTTGACCGAGAAGAGAGGTCGTGAATTCCATTTTGTACAAAAGTTTCTATCAGATAAAGATGGAAACAATAGAATAGAAACAGTAGTTCAATTTAACACAAAATTAGTTTTTAAAGTATTGCATTTCTGTGCCCTACTTCATATTGAATTCGTAAGAAATATTGGATAGTACACTACAATTAAAATCAGGTTTTATTTATAAATGGCTTAGAGATCTTATTGAACACGACTGGAACTTTAAAAAAACGTGTTCAATAAACTTCGAACACTTGTAGTTTAAGTCCAGTTTAAATGTACTCTTTTTAAAAACAAACTGATTTCATGTGGAAAGACCATTGAAAACCAAGTAGGAGACTGCAATCCTACTTCACTGTTATGAGGTCCATCAGCAGGGGACACACCCACGACTCTACAGGGATTTACCAGTTTATATGTTATAGTTTGTTTGAGATGGAGAACTACTCCAGGTTCGACACCTACCAAACAAACTAAACTACTATGGCGTAATAAAAAACCTTTAGTGAGAAAAAAAGTTATTTAATGCTTCTCCCTACTGCCTATCAAGTTTCACAACCTCATAAACGAAGACAAATCTTCAGAAAGCGTACTATATTGGCGGAACATTATCCACTAGAGCTAAAATGAAGGTCACAAACAAGTAGAAACAAACTTTCGGTCATTTGGAAAACAGGGGGGACATTTATCTTTCCTGTCCTATTAAAATCACCAAAGTAAATAACGGACTAATAATAATTAAATAGAAAATCACCTTGAATTATATTTAGTATAGAAACATAACAATGACTGACACCGCGCTGTGTTGGAGTGGAGACCATCATATTTTTTGGCTGTAATAAACGTCTCATGACATCGAATACAGTTGTCCGTCGAATAGTTGGAACTTCAGTATCTGTTGTTAATGGGGTATAACCAGTCATTAAGAAATGCAATCGTGGAGTTGGAGTTAGTGGAGCTATTAAGCCAATTAAATCATTATTCATATAGCTGGGATAACGAAGTGTAGCCGTACTTGCAGACATTACTTTGGAGACCTTAATTCATAGTAGAAAGATAAGAGAAGCACTGATCACTTATTGATAACACAAAAATAAACTCGATGAAGTACTAGTCGAAAATGGTTATTGACAGTAACCGGATGCGAAAGCTGAAACTTGAGAAATTGTCTACAGTACCAAAGAAGACTTTCTATGAACATTGAACTTATGGAAAATACTGTTGCAGGAATATTGAAAACCGGATTTCAAAATATTTGGGATAAACATTCTATTTCTCGAAATTTCGTATTGTCTTCCACTAGCCGACCTATTATTTATGGATGCGTTAAGAACCAAGTTATGCTATGAGTCATATCAATGTACATCTTTAATTTCACTTGCATTTGTGGGACAGGCTATATTGGCCGCATTTAGTGAACACTTTCCAAACGCATCTCAGAACATTACTTGGAACGTCTTTCAAAGGAGAACGTAAAATAATCAATGTTTCAATATATGGATATCTCTTTAATTCTGTTTACATACCCTTACTGAAATTATTTCTAAAAATAATTTGCGCAGTTAAACGAATCGGATTAAAGGGAGCGCGAATTAAAAACTTGTGAATTGCAGAGACTTGAGCAATTCAAGTCTGAACTTTGTGTGTAAAAACAACACATACAACTACACATTCCTTCATGACCTTAAAAACTTTTATTACGTTCGGAGAAAAAAACCAGTAATCAGTTGTTCTTGTTGTTACCTCCGCATTTCTAATTTATTCTTTATATCTATCAAGTGGATAATTATTTCTCGCATTTAGACTCCTACGCAACCTTCTTATGATACTTGGAATGTTTGAACACTTCACGGTATACTGGTTTTACTATTTTTCCAATCGATTAATACATCTTTTCAATCACCATAAATACGATTATACAGACTCAATAAATGATACCATCAAGAAGAAACCTTTCTTTGCTGAATTGTCTTTCGTTCTTCAGAAATAATTTTACCAACAAGAAAAGTTTGTGTAATATATATCATGGAATTTAGTTTACAAAAAGAAAATTATGATGAGACATGGGAATTACCTTATTGGAACAAGATAGAGCTGAACAAAACAGTTCACGTAACAAAATTTCAAGACAATATACAGGATGAAATAATAGGGATAGAAAACATTTTCATAAATGAATTTATATCACTAGTATCGCTACAATGCCCTAAGGATTTCTTATCCAGTTCTTTTCAAAAACTACCCCTTCTTACACACATAGTGAGGAGGAATAATAAAAGTTTTGAACGTCGGTCGCGTCTATATCTTAATTGATCTTCGAATAGAGATATACATAACCGGAACAACAAGTAGCTGGATTCAAACCAGATCATTTAAAAAGCAAGCATCTTTAAATAACTCGTTCAAACAGTAGCTACAAAGTAATTTAGTCAATAGGACTTGATTGGTAGACTAAACTAGATAATCATCAAGTTAGACTTGTTTGATGATAAAGAAAGTGAACGGACAGTTATTGAAACATTGTCACAACAACTACTACAATTATTATGAAGAGCTAATATTTCCAAAAGTGTCAACCCACATATCTCTCTGGTAGACTTAGTTTAACTCTCCCAGTAAACAGTTCAGTTACTGTTTAAATCACTGAGTCTTTCCATGTTTCAGCCGAAGTAATTTACATGAAGTGGGCTGGACGTTTAGGTACACTTTTCTTATATTCTTCAACTAAAATGAGAAGTAACTTTTTTCAGGTTGAAAATGAGTTTTTACTGGCTGTAAAAGAAATACTTTCACCACTAGTAAAGCTGTTAGCTAACATATTAGACATATGGACACAAATCGAATAATCTGAGTGGATGATCGTAGATCTACCCAAAGTGATCCCTTTACCAAGCTGTTAAAAGTAAGACATACTTCTAGCGTATCAAATCCAAAGTGTTTACAAACCATTAAGAGATTTTATAAGTCTGCCCTGTCAAATCGCAACAGTGTTGGATAAAATTCAGTTTAATTACAATTTGGGATTTATCGAAAAAATTTGTAATGGTTATAACATGATCACAGATCCTACAAAGGCAAGTGTCATCGTTCACATTAAACAGACACAAAAATTCAAATATATAGATAATCACTTTCATGTTAATGATACCTACCAGCTGGTTGATTTGTGCAAATGATGGATTCTCAATATGCAAACGATCAGTAGCTATACGATGCAGAGCAGTATTATCTAGAACAACCTGTTAAAAAACAAAGATTTAAAAAGACAGGTTTACAGGTGTTAATACATCCCACTGATTGATAACATTGTATGGTAACTGTAAACAGAACACTATCAGTGAACCATATATAATATAAATGATTAGCAATAAATCAAAATAATTAACTGATTGTTTTCACGTTTTGTCATTATGAAACAATAAATAACTGATAAAAATTAGTATTTTTCGCACGTAATTGTGTTGGCATTTTTCAATTATTAATAACATTCTTTAGTGGATTTTTGTCGTGAAAGCTTGTGAAACATTGATGGTAGAAATTATGGGATATAATTAGCGTCAATAACTTATTCTTTTGAAGGAGATGAAAATAAGTTTACTTAGAATTTAGAAATTAGCCAATTGACAGTATTTTACAAAATAATGAATGCGTAATGTATCGTTAAACAAAGGATACAACAAGATTGCAAACAATGTTTAGTACAAGTCTATATTAACAGGAAATTACTGAAGATCAGAGAATGATTAGATCATGTTTTATTTTGCTCTACAGATAATCAGTAGTACGTATAATCCAACCAGTTCGTTACTAAGAAATGAAACCATAAATTTCTACAACAGTGAACTATATGTTCTTAATCTCAATAATTTATGCTTTTTAAACAATGCAAAGTAGTCAGTAGCTTGTATTAAAACGTATATAATGACTAAATAATTTATCTATATCATATTAATGAGTAATTATCTAACAACATATCAACGCTTACGTTAGCAATCTGGCAACATCTAAACAAGTAGAATATACTTGTGAATAATTGAACAGCATATAAACATTTGCTAGAGATATTTCTGATAATCACTTACAACTACATAAATTTATTGTACACATACCTGGTGGTTATATGACTAAGAGAAATGCTAAACTCCATTTGTCTTAAAATAATTATTTTTACACGATTTCATGTTTAAATAATTTAATACTTTCAAATTAATTTATATGAGGACAATAATGGGAGTTTTATTTTCAATATTAGATAAAATAGGAATGGAACAGAGATATTTTAAGTATAGGAACAGAGTAACTGTTCAAATACATTTAACTAATATTTTCAATGATACGATATATTTGCTTAGTAGATCGTTTTTAAGGGATTAATTCAAATAAGGAAACTTACTACTTTTACTATGTCAAAGTTGTTATTATCTACGGAAAAGGATGTTGCAACTATAAAATACATTGTGGTTGAATACAAAGATATATGTAAATGATTTCAACAAGACAAGATATACTACATAATAAAGTGGAGACAAATAAACCGGTTAGTGGTGATTCCAGTTTACGTACAAATGAACTTTAGGTGTTATTTTCACTTTGCATAGTTTTTAGTTCAAATATCTTCTTACTTAGGTTAATTAAGTCAAACTACTTGTTGTTAGATGTATCCATCGTACGGTAAAGCTGGAGTACTAAAGATAATATCCAGGTTGACACTGGTACATTTTTTCGGTGAGAGAAAGGTACGGAATATATAATAGTTCTGCAAAAATCATTACATAGTATTATATACAATACGAGGACTCACCACACAATCAGCATTCAAAGTGAGACGTTTTAGTGTTAACAAACTGTTATAAGGTTGAACAACAACATCACTAGTTTCTTCTAAATTTGGGAATACTGAATACGTTTGAATAAGTTTTTTTGGGAAGTGTGAATTAAGACGTTCAAGAATAAATGAACCCATCCCAGACCCTGTTCCTCCAGCGATAGAATGAGTCATTACGAAGCCCTTGTTAGGAAAAAGGTAGTACATTAGTACTAAATATATACAGAATATAAACTAACAATTTAATTACCATTGGAAGTGTAAATACATATGGTGGCATTAAGAGACCTAATGCTTAATTAATACACACAACAGAATGTTAAGCTTAATAACAAAGTATGTAGGAATACAAAATAGTGACAGTACTTCTTCAATGAAGAATTTACTTTGCCAGAGACATGTCTAAAATAATTGCACTATAGTATATTGAACTCCTTACGATAATACTGGTTGTATAATTGAAACATTTGACTATGGAGTTGGGATTTCACGTACCGTGTAATTATATATCATGCCGAACAAAGTTATCTACAAATCTCTGACCAGTTCGTTACGTGAATAATAACTATCTTTTAGCAACTCTTCTAGGATCTACGTAGATAAATTCAGGGTTCTGTAAATTACTAACTTCGGGATAGGGATTTAAATCAACATTATCTCACATTTTTGAGCTTAAGAGTGCTGAAATATTGAGGCAGACGAGTAAACTAGAGTCATTTACCTCTTAGTAGCGGGGATATTTAACGGATGAAGTGTTCGCGAACTTCCCCAAAAGGATAAGATAACACAAAACTGTATATGACAGTGAAGAGGTTTGGTATTACCCTTTGTGACAGAAGAAATCTAAGAGAAACGGTAAAGTGAGTTATGGGAAGAAAGAGTTAGCAGAATGAAATGGTTATAAAACGATGCGTTGACAAAGTAAAGATAAATAGATGAATAAAGCTGTTACTATAAACGGTTTTCAGTTATCCCACTTGAGAGTCACTAACCACAGATTCATCGTATCTCTCAGACTGCAGATATATGTCGAAGCTTAAATGGACAATCAGAAAAATTGTGAAATAGTGCTAGATCTTGATCTGATTGCCACGAAACTTTAGTCAGTACACTTTTATTTTAACCAATGATAAACATGCAAGCAGGTAAAAAATTGTTGTGCGTGTGGTGTATGCTACTTATGTTGACAGATATAAGTAGTATGTATCACTAATCGGAAGTGAAATGCATGACAGCAAAAGATTGAGAGGATTCAATTGAAGAGAACAGAAAGTAATTGTAATGACAACAGAGTTGAAAGGATCATGAAGCGTGTAAAGGACAACTGATGGAAGATGTGCAAATTGTGTATTTAAGGTATGGTTTCATATTTTACGAAAGCACTCTGTAATTTTGCATTAAACAATAAGTTCGTCTTCCCTACCTAATTTATTCGTCCACTACATGTGCAGCACGGTAGCAGCCAGAGGAGGCTGATGACAGGTAGTTATGTAGGGTAATAAATAAGCAATCAATGTAAAGTGCTCTCAGAAACCCTTAGTAAGTGTAGTTAACGCTGCATGTCAATAAAATGCCCTGGTACGGTCGAGGATGGGGAGAGTCAGCTCTCCCTTTAGAAGTGCTCTCATATAGTCACACGTATACAACCATCGCCAAGGAAGTCCTACTAGCTGCCTTCTCGTGGCAGGGGTGTTGTTTACGAAATTAGGAGGACGAAGAGCGAAGGTCTGGAGCTTTAGCCGGGTTAGTGGACATAGAGCGTCCACCTAGGGGAGTTGAAAAACCCTGATTCTAAACCGATAGTACATATTAGCTCCAGTAACCCATTGTTGGTCGCCGGCTACTACGGGACTGTATCTTCTAACGCTGCTCCACTGCCTTGCAGATTAAACTTCTAGGTCAAAGGCTCTTGGTGTGACCCCCTAAGAAAACCACATGCTTCGGTTTGGGCACCCGGGCAGTATCACAGCGCTCACACAAATGAGTGATAATTGCTACCGGCCTCATTGTTATTGTGTGGCGCATATATGTTTGGTGCCCCCTTGTGCCAATATTTATGCGTTAAAATAAAAAAAAAAGTATTTCAATTCATATGGAAGGGAGTAAAGGTTTGTAAAACTACTGAGTAAATAACTGATAAAAAGCTTGATGATCGAAGTGAAGGGTTAACTAGTTCCAATTAAACTTTATTACCTCTAAGCTATCACTTCCTTCGGCTTCACGATCAATAATATCAAACACTTCTTCCTCCAGTTTTTCACCTTGTGTGTATCCAGCTGCCCAATTATTACCGGCACCACCTCCATGTTTAGATAAATATACATTTTCTGGATTGTAAAGTCGAGCATAAGGTGAAGATAATATTGTATTGATTACACGTGGTTCTAAGTCCAGTAACACAGCACGAGGAATATAATGAGCATCATCTGCCTTTATAAGAAACATGAAAATGGTTTAATTCTGTGGAAAATCTTAGACACAAAATTACATATCATTTTTCCTACTATAGTCAATTATATATCTGTGTAGTCCCCGTAAAGTAGTTATTCGTTACTTTGCAACTTCCAAACGATAATGGTTTGGTTACTGGCTGGCATAACTAGACTAACAACCCCTTGTAAAGGTTATACATATGACCAGCCAATATACGTTTGCTCAGCAATGTGGGATATCTGAAGAAACTGAAACCATTGGGTACCCAGCTGAAATATTTTACAATACAAGGGAAAGCTTATAGAAATATGGTAAAATCTGAATTGAGACAAACAAAAATTGTGATTGAACAAAAACTGAAGTCATTTTCTCGAAGATTGTGTAGAAATAAGAACATCACACTATAAGTATAAGAATTTTACTACTCGCATCTGAGTTGTCTACACAACAAAATCTATTCATTAAAACATCTAGTTAGGACAAGAATAATTTTCCTCTAACTTTCTTGTTCATAGTGCTTTGTGGATAACACTAGAGGTTTTAATTTGTTACTGGAGAAACGCTTTTTAGCCTCGAGCTTGTGAAAGCATCATTCAGAAGTAGAATTGATGCTTCTGGAAGATCAACAGAAGTATACATTTACCCGAAGTATCAGTGAATAGTTGTCAAAAATGGTGCATTTTGGTGTCTGTATCGGTAAGATATTGATAGATAAACTCGCTACCGTAAAAGATTAAGATACATTTATCGCCTAGGGATATCACTCACCTGCCGAAACTATTTAGTTATGACAGGAATTAAAACTATGAATAAATTGGTGAAAGCGGAAACCACTGAACCACAGGATGAAGAAAACAATTGACTTAAGTTATGTAACCTAAAACAATGTCCGAATAACTAAGTAAGCAACGGATGATTGAAAAGTATGCAAACTAATTGTGTGGAAATTTCTTACTTACTTGGTAGAAAAAGACATCTTTGCGATCAGCATCACTTGTTGCGAATTCTTCAAGTGTACCTTCAGGACTGATTCCATGTTCAGCGCACAGCTGCTTCCAAAACTCCATCCCAACTAACATTTTGGTGATACAGAGAAAATGGACAGGTAAATATTACGTGAGAGATAATAAAGTCACAGACTGCTTGTAATAATCCCCATAAAGAGATATGCCTACTAAGATTATATCAAAAGCAGATATCTTTAGTTTCCGTAAGTAATGTGATAATTCTGGACATTTCCTAATTTTAATATATACAGTACAGTTAATCAAACATGTTTTAGCACTTGCTTAACAGGTGAAATTCGTTAGTTTTGATTCTTATCTTTTACTTGCATTTCCACAGCCTATAAACGAAGTATGTGGTAAAATAAGTCGCCATGCTGATACGCTGTACCTTCTGGTACTTATTTCATTTAAAAGCCTCAGATACCACTCGTAAAACAATTATTTTGGGAAGTTTATTTTTATTTGTTGCAGCTAAAAATATCTGAGAATTCTTTACGGTTCAAATGAAAAACTAAAGGACTGAATTTAGATTTCATTCAGAGCAACACATGTTCCTAACTTAACCATTGATTGTTATGATCAACTGACTTTGAAACCTAACTTAGTATTTTTGGTTATCACTTCAGTAACGTGAATCCAATAATTTATGAAGTAAGTGGTGTATAATGCCAAACATAACCATAAGATGTTTACAGACGATTGAGTGACCTTGCACTAAAGAGCTTGGGTATTCCAGCGGTCCAGTTTAAAAACTATAATTAGCGGCGGACTAATCTGTTAAGTTAAAGTCAGACCATATCAGATAGGTAGACTTATTTTTTCCTTAGCACTGATTGTAGTATAAGGGTAAGTCATCACTTATTGCGTTGCGATTGATGTAGTAAGCTTTGTAACTCCCGGAAACTAAGCGAAACGTACAGTTTATGGACTAGGGAGGTAGAGACGTTCTGAAGTGTCAGCTCGGCATAATGTCATACGAATAGACGAGAAAAATAGACCTTGTTGGGTGCATCTATAGTGACATTTTGAGTCATATTATCCGGACATCAGAAACATGAATAGTTTAGCAACAAAATATTCCACTTAAAAGCCGATACAAATGAAATTACTAGTCTTACAGCTTATGGTCAATGCATCTTCAAAATAGATAACTACTGAGTGTCATCATGATGCCTTGATTAGACACCAGGTATATGAACGACTCTTACTTGTTGAAAACATATTCACCCGATTGGACAGTAGTTTCGTCTGTCCAACTATTTGGTTGAAATCAGAAACCTGGCGTAGTATTGTTTGATAGCTTGATTAAGCTTTTCGGGGTAGGGAGGAGTGATTTTAAAACAATCTGAACTGAAATATATATTACCAGGGTATACGGCGGGATTGTAAAACCACTAACTTAATACAGATTGAAACAAAAGACGTTTGAGCGCAGTAAAAGGCATTTAAAGAGACTCTATTTATGTGAATGTAGAGGCGTTTAAGGAAACCTCCAGTTTTATTTTTTCTGTTTCACATGACTATACCTTTGCGAATGACTGGGCATACATTCATTCGAAAACCTAAGCGACGATGTTAGATATGAGTCTCACACTGACTATTATTCTCACAGATGTTCTAATGATTGGATATCCTCGATCCATGTTTTGGAAGGAATCAGAGGTAATACAAGATGTTTAGTGATGCTAGAGTACATTATCAAGAAGCTGAAGTCACGTAAACCGTTTGAAGAGCCTTATGGATTACTGGAGCTACATGGACACTTGAGGACGTGACAGACGTTAAGAAGATAACCCGCTTTGATTCTTCGCTAACAAGCCGGTTAACCATATGTACTTGCTCAATATACTATGGAAAAAGTATATTATAGTTGAAGCCAGTGAGGGTCCATAAAACAAAGACAAGTTGCGGCAAAATAGATTAGCTACTTGTGGTGGGGAATATCTCAATATATGGTAAGTGTGTGTTGCGTAAACCTCACTTATAAAATAAAATTTTTAGTCACAGTAAATCCAGGTTGTTTCGACAAAAAATGCATTTAAAACTCGTAACTAAGTAACAGGACAGGAGAAAAAGACAATATGTTTGTAAAATGAGACATACTTTGATTCCCACATTGTCCTAGTTGCAAAGTTATAATATCGCGCGGCATCGTAGCGCACGACCGAAGTACCCCGGTTTGAAGGACACAATTCTCAGTATCTAAAGTCAAACCTGTAGTGTGAGTAGTACTTCATCCTCTTACTTATCACATCTTCCTTAAACCTGTTTTTATATGTCAAAATCACTTATTTTAGGTGAGCGAAGATGTTTTCAGGGATTTTTCACCTATAGAAGTGAGAGTTGTAGATAATTCGAAAATGCTTGTTGAGATTCGGGAAGTAACGGGGAAAATATATAGCCCCTTTGTGTCATATTACTTCCAGCAGGCACGCGTAGCTATTAGGTAGACTAGCATGCAAGGTTGGTAGTACTGTAACTCTGAATAACTCCCTTAACTACATAGCTCGTGAACATTTAACATCTATGCTGACCAGCTAAGTTTGACTGGATACACCATCAGCTAAATTCGTTCAGTCAAGCATGTTTGCCAGAATAATCTTCACTATATCACGCGACTTATTGCCTCCCATGACTAGCCAGCTTAGAATTTACACGTTGTGACACTTCTAGTAGCAATCCAGATATATATTTTTACACGGTGGTTCTCATATTCTTCAATTGCCATAAGAGCATTTCGATAATGGAAACCCAGATGTTGGTACTGATTGATTTTGTTGCATCCGAAGCCTCGTAAGGATGACTACAGACATGATGGATATCATAGCCTGATATTAGGACTAACATGCTCCGTTAAACAAATAGGGATGACAAATAAAAGATCAAAAATGAGGAATTCCCAGTGGGAAAATTAAATTATGGTTATTCGAATAAAACATGTTCGGCAGCACACATCGTTACTCAGCATTACAGCTTTTCTCTCTTACAATTTTCACTTCAAATGGCTTTAATAAAGAGGAACAATAGTTTTCTTCTATCAAACATTTTATACTTGAATTGATTGAAGTTCCTCATTTCAATGGAGTTATGGAGTGTAATTCCACGGGATGTAACTATCTGGTTAGTTACAGGTGTGACAATTTGTGTGCTCAGTGGTTACTTAGGATTTATAAGTCCACTGATACCTGATGATGGAAGTAATTATTTTCTTTTGCTTGGGTAACAATTAGTTTGATTTTGTTTAAACTTTATAGGGAGGTTTTTGACGACACATATTCACGTGCAGAAGTACAAGATATCTCGAACAATCAACGTACGCCTTAAGCACCCCGAGAAAAATTATATGATGTTCTTGGGGCACCTTAGTAATTTCATAATTCAGTTATTCATATGTTCTGTGTAGCTACTTAAGAGTCTTGATAAACATTTCATACCTTTTAGGCCAAATTTAAGTGGTATTTTGCTTTTGATCTCCTAAAAACGTGCGTCATAACTATTTGACCCTGATTTCATTTCAAGTGTGATGTTTATCGCCTTCGTTTGTATTAATATTGAATCCGGTTCTCAGTATAAACTTCCATAACACTTGATGTCACTGGATAAATCTGTCAAGTGGGCTCTCTGGTGTATTTCTGCATTTAGGAGGAAAAAGATATTATGACTAGATTCTATTCATCAGCGAGTTCGGGTATATTACTTCTTTATTATAAACGAAATTGGTCTGATATAAACTTTAATAGCCTCTCAAATACTCTGTAGTAAGCCCATTCAACTATTGTATTATTTGTCTACTCACTGTAATTTAGACACTTAATTCACTATGTTAATTTCTGTATGTGCGTGATTGGACGCGTGTCTGCACATCAATCCTTATTCTATTCTCCTATCGGTTGTAGTACATAGATAATCAATAGTTTATCCACACTTCATTAACACTCATAAATATATATGGATTTCTAACTCTCTCACACACACACTCACTTTGTTTCACTGTGTGCTTGCTTGCTGTACGCTTGAGGATTTTACTAATCTTTAACAATGAAATATCCAACTGGTGTTCAGGCTTCTGAATAATCTCGAGTAAATCCATAACTCTACTAGGAGATTTAACTAGCCTTAAATACTCAGTTAACGGGATATCATTTATTTGAGTCAGATATAGAGGAAACTAGCTTCTACAACTACACTTGTTTTGACAGTCGTACTTGAGAGGTGATCATCTACTTCTATAATTCTCAAGAACGTGAGAGACGTAAACCTTAGAAGTGCTCAAAGAATATGATCTCTATCCGAAACCGGAATTTGATGCCTTTTTAGCATTTATTTATAACTCCGGAAAGCTTGTGACAAAACGTTGCAGGTACTGTTGATCAAAAAGTCGTGTGTGTGAACATGTTAATTTTAGAATCTTTGGAACAATTCCATAGGCAGTAGGGATTCAGTTGGCACTGTTAACTGCATTGATTTTCTATGAAACGGTCTTGTATAATTAAGCGGTTATAAAACCTTCAATGAGTGATGCTGGGTAATGATCTAGAGAAGTTTTTCTCTCTATTTATCTGTATTTATTGGATAAATACTGGTTATAACCATCCATCACAGAAATATTTCAAGCTGAAATTACTCGTCGGTTATGAGTTTAGTAGGTTTTAACTGGATTACAAAATAGGAATCGTTTTTATCAAATTGTACTTTGATTTTCCGTTTGTTTCCGGGGACGCACATCATCTTGTTTTTGGTATAGGATACGAGACGCTGATATTAAACCAGGGATCAGTGTTGTTTCCTAGGTTCTTCGGTTAAATGTCTAGAAAGGTTAAAGGTTGAACTATAAATGTTGCTGAACGTAGTTCAAGATGGACTGTCAGCTATCTTAACCACTGGCTGAGATTGTCGTTAGAAGGTGCCGATTGAAAAGCTTCCTTGTAGTGCGGCTTTGCTGCTAGTGACACTAGTGTATGCAACATTTCTGTACGTGTTGCCACTCGAATACCATCTTAAATTTACTCCGTTTTGAGACAAGTTCGTATAAACGTTTGTAGGAAGATTTAGATTAGTAACCTTGGAACAAGTTTAGCGTTTTGGGAGTTGCAGAGCTTTGTGACATCTCTTAGTGGTTTAGAAGAAACATAGGTTGCAGGGCGAATTTATCGTGGTAGCGAAATAATTATAAACCTCAATACAAGCATATTCCATTGGTGGGGTTGTACTTATTACTCAGAGGTACTTATAAAGTAGTACACTCCGACGGTTTCTATAGTGTCAATCAAGGTAGGAATCGATGTGACTTTACATCAGATCATGCCTACTAGGCATTCACATCATGACGAGTAAACTACATTATTTCAGATCTACTAATTTGATGATACAAAGTAACTAGCAATACTCATTGAGTTTAGACGTCACATAATAATTACATGATGTCATGACGATTTATTATTTTTATGCTTGATGAGGAATAGAGCAACAGGAGATCGTTTCACAATGTCAAACTAGCCAGGAGGGTAGGTGGATTTTTGAAAAGAGGAGTACATAAAAAATTGCAGCTGGATAACGTGCTTATCCCTATAATGTTGTGCCAATCGGGTATGAAAGAAACTTAGCGAAGATCCTGACTAAATGTGCTAGAATGATTTGCCGTGAAGACACTATTATAGACGAATTATTAATATTCGTAACTTGCTTAATACGAGTAGACATCCTACGAAATTCAGCAACAACCACACGAATTAGATCAAGACAAGACCGGATACATCTACCATTTTGAAAAAAAGATACTACCACCGAAGAATTTGTAGCTCAAAAATTGAAAAAGGCCGTAAAGAAAACATTTACTGCATCCAAACTAAATGTGGCATTTTACAACCAGCCATTAAACGGACCCATCAGTAAAGACGGACTACCTAATTTCACCACATTCATGTGTATTTACCAGTTCAACTGCTTCTATGGAGCCAGTTATATGGAGCGTGAATTCGGAAGTCCCTCATTTCATAGGAGTACTCCATCCGTCTTGGTTGAGCAAAAGATAGGTAAGAGTAGTTAAGAGTTCTGTTTTCGCCCATTGAGTGAACACCGATTCGGCTTGAATAAAAAAATTTGTGGGGCATCCATTGCATCCCATCAGATTCACTACATGGTATATGAGTTTGTCTTTCTCATATTGCTGAAGCTTTCGGAATCCATTGGAGATGCCACAGGTATTCGGAGTTTGACAGTGCTTTAATCAGCAACACCCTCTAAAATGAATCCTACACACCAAGTGAAATCAAAAGACAGAAGCGAAGAGGTTCGAAGATATATTTGATAAGCTATCAATATATCGAGAATCATTTGATCTAATCTGTCTAGCGATTGCAGGGGTTGTTGAGCACGGCGTTCCCACTCGTTATCTGATGCGGATGCATGACCGAGCGCCTTCAGCTAGGTGAGTCCACTAAAACTAATGTGGTCAGCATCCAATGTCGAAAACTTCCAGAGCTATTTATTTTGGCGATTTATTTACCGCCACACCATGTTCACAAAAGTAACCTTAGCATCCACAAAAAGTCTGTAGCGGTAAAGTAATTCCCAAAATAAATAGTTCTATAAGTCTTCGATATTGATGGTGACCTCGTTGGTTTTACTGGATACACCCAAGGTGAAGGCACTTGTTCACACATCCCTTGCAACTGTCAACCAGCTTGGACCAAACGCTTTCCAACATATCGATAGCCTTCCAGATGTATATTCGACCATCTTCATTTCCGACTTCTGATTCCACTGGGTTGATGTGTAGTGGCATTTGACCCTAACGTGAGACAATATGGGAAGTAAACATTCATCATTTAACACGGAGAAAAATCCAACGATGAAGAGGGCGGGAAGAATGAACTGAATTGATTGGAGTTAATCGAATGGCATGACTGGGCCTTGCAGGAGTAGTCTTATGTAACATTATTTTTATCCATATTATATATAACGTTCTATCTCTAATCTAAGTGTGTTCTTCACCGTATATTGGTGACCGTTAAGATGCAGTGATTTGGTGTAGACCACGATGTGACTTCCATGTAAGATCTTATAGATTAGGCAGTTATATCATGACAAATCTACAATTTTAGGATTAGGTCTAGTATTAGAGCAGTACTAATATCATAGTAGACCATAATCCTACATTGGTGAACCCGACTAAAGAAACAATCTATTACTGTTAATCATCCAGTAATGACTTGTTTTAATCCAGTATTCTATTAGTCCTCTGATTAATGCTCAGATGTATTGTCGTAATGTTATATTGATTAGTATTCATGGCATACTAACTCAGTCGATGCCAATAACCGGTCATCTATGTCAAGTAGCTTTGATGGTTCATTAACAAGCTTTAATAGTATTTGCATGCTTCTGCTCGCTTCAATCACGTCCATATAGACATTGTGGGACCACTGCCACCATCGCACGGGTATGATCACGTACTCACGTGCATTGATCGCTTTACAAGATGGTCCGAAGCTAAACTCATCACGTCTCTTATGGTGGAGAAAGTTGCTCACCGCTTCGTAGAACGATGTATAGCGCTGTGCAGTTGTCCCTCGACTGTCACGACCGACCGAGGGCAACAATTTGAGTCCGAATTATTCTCCTCGCTGACCCGGCTGCTTGGTACAGAACGCATACGCACTACCACCTACCACCCAGCATCAAATGGTTCGGTTGAACGGTTTCATCGTCAACTTAAAAGTTCTCTTCGAGAACACAAAATCAACAATTGGTACGAAACCTTACCGTTCGTCCTCTTATGTATCAGGAAGAGCTTAAAAGCAGAAATCCAATGTTCCGTCGTTGAACTTGCATACGGCATGACATTGCATCTGCTTTGGGAGTTTTTCGCACCACGGAGCAGTAACAATTTCGATAAATCAGACTACGCCCAACGATTGTCTGAATTTATGCGAACACTGTCTCCAGTGCCAACTCGAATATAGCATCGACAGGTATTTCTCCCTCGAGAGCTATCTACCTGTTCACTTGTTTTCATACGAGAAGATTCGGTACGCGAACATTTGCGACAGCCTTACGGGGGACCTTTTCACGTGATTTCTCGTCACGAAAAGACCTTCAAGGTTAATCGACATGGTCGCGTCGAGATAGTCAGTATTGGTCGTCTCAAGCCAGTGCCCTACCTGATAAGTTGAGACCCAATGTTAGACCTATCAAACCTACTAGCGTGATTCCTAAATCTACATCGGACCCCACGCTAGATATATCAGAGACCTCATTCTCACGTCCCGGTCAACAGCACGTGTCATCTGCACCATCTACGGACGGGACTTCAGTCTCACGTCCAGATCAGCAGACCACGCCGCCCTTGACTTCGGATGAGATTGCAGTCTCACGAAGTACGAACAAGACTACCATCTCACGTTCTGCTCGCCGAGTACGCCCACCCGTACGCTGTCGCGACTAACCTCTCAATCAACAACGGATACGGTATAGGACTCTATCCCTTTACTAAATGGATGCTACACCTTTTCTTTTTTCTTTGATTTTTGTATATCCTGAGCTCACGCCTACGACTATTACCCATTTGATACCGTCGACTTCAGTCACCCTTGAAGAAAGCCCGTCTGGCCACCCGCGCTCTTGTCAATGCACTCAGTCGATGTTCTGGTTCCGAATATGTTTGGCATATATTTGGTCTCGCGCCTGGTTATCGTGGTCGCTTCTGGTTTCTTGGCTAAACGTGGTTCCTTCCTACGTCTGCAGCGTCTTCTGGTCCGGACCCCTACGAACGCAACCCTCAGATCCTGGATACAAACCACTCTGGTGTGGTACGCTAACTCGAGCAACAAATACAGCACGTTCCTCCTGGTACCGTTCTACGTAAAAGACTATGTTAAGCCCACATGACATATTCTAGCTTCTGAACTGGCGAATCTATCCATTCTTCTTGAGTCACCTTTTGACCTTGTTAATTATTCACTTATCAACCCTGACTGTTTTTATATGAGCGTGTGTGTATATCTTATCCTACTCATCACATATCTGTAGGTTACTTTTGTGTGACCATAAATAGTGATTAACGCATGGTTAAATCAAGTTGGCTCACTCGCATCCTCCACTGCGCGTCCTTTTGTTCCGCTTCTCTCTATCTTCTTCACTTCATTAGCTATTGTCTATTCCGATCAACGAGTGTACGAAATATGCGTATCCAGAAATCCATTCTCGTATTTGGCTTACTTAATTACGTTATTCACCAATGCGAGTTATGTCGATAATTTTACACAAGGATAGCTAGGATGCATATTTTGACAACAATCATTCATACAATCTAATTAAAGTCAGATCCCAGGCCACTAAAACTGGCTACATCTAGTTTTCAAGATTTTTAAAATTGGTAAACATTTCTGCTGTGCAACAACATGGTGAATTCAACGTGGTAGAAAAGTTAAATCACTAGAAATACATGCCATAGATGTAGATTACATTCAAAACTCTTATTACTAGAGTCATATGAAGGGGCGACGAAAACTTCCGGAATATTTCCTAAAGATTATGTTACCTGTTTTTATGATATATTGGACACCTAGTGTTTATTTCCTAGAGCCACAAAAATTATTAGTCATTGGTAGTTACAAAAGTAAATTAAAACTGATAACGCATATAGGAATTCATAAACACAGAAGCAATATACCTTAGTTTCAGGCTGTGAACCGAACCCATAACGTAAGCTACTTGACTATGTAGCCAGGGATACATGAAATGTGTTGGGAACAACAACAAGATAGTTCGGATTCAAGTATATAACTTATTAAACTGTAGACAGTGAAGAATGAATGAAGTTTTGATCTACTGGAGTAAAGACGTTCAGTAGTTGTTTATAACGCCACTATGATATAATATAAATCTTACAGCGAAATCAATAATTTGATAACCAAATCTACTGATCATATCAAAACGAAGTATTAATAATCTATCTGTGGAGTGCGCATAACCAATATTTACAATCTTAGAATAGAATATTTGTAATCTATGAAGTTGAATTTAGAAAAGTTTAAGAGGTAAGTAAAAGAAAATATATGTATTGAAAAATAATATAAAACGTTCTCTCTAATGTTAAGAATATTTTATTTCCAAAATATTCAATGACTACATATGTATCTCCTTTTAATCATAAATTGTTTACGTTCCTATTATTTTCCCATTACTATACTAATAATTATTTATTAAAAGAATAGTGAGCGAAATTTCAGAATACATAAAGTTTTAAATCATATATCTGTTCAGTTTTGTGACATTAAATTCATAAATTTACCTAAAGCACCTTCTCTACTATCCTGACCGCTGTTACTGAAACTATTATTTGTACGATACATATCCGATGAGATACTTGTATTTTCAGTCGTTGTGTTATTATATTTGGACAGTTCAGTACTGGTGAATTCAGGATCATTAGAATATTGATTAAAGTTATTTGGATTATTATCAGAATAGTCATATGAACTATTCACATTATTATAATTATCTGAATTTCTGTTAGCACCGACCATAAATTCGGGCCATTTATAATCACTTGAATAAGTTGTTTCATTTGACATTTTAACTGTTGGTGGAACATAGTAATCCTGGGGTCGGAATTGATTTATTTGTTGAATAGGTGGTAGTTTTGAAAATCCCTGATGGTATGTTGTATTTGAATAATGATTATTTAGTTTATGTCCATCAGAATTTTGTGAATAATTTTTTGTTGTCTCAAAAAGAGTGTTATGAAAGTTAACTTTTGGTAAGATATTACGTGAATTCGTCGTTTCAGCATGAACATCTTCACTGGGTTGAATAAATTTACTGTCATTCGTATACGGATTTGAATCTGGTTCATAATAATTCACATAATCAACTGAATAACTTGTTTTTAGGTCGTTGTTAATCAAATAATTTATTTTCAGGTTATCTTCTTTCACTATTGGTTGGAGTTTTGATGGATTTTTTATTGGTCTAAAGTCATCAGTATAAGAAGTTGTCGTGTTCATCCGAGTAGCAGGGTACATATATGAATATCGCGTGGTTGGTGGGCAGCTTCGGTTACCTTTGTACTCTCTAGATGGTGGAGGGAATTCCAGCTGATAACTTGTCTTACCAGAAAATGGTACACTTGGATGCTTGTAACGATGTATGGGTTTTAAATTTTCCGTTCTCTTTGCTTTGCGGTACTGAAATTCCTCTGAATATGAAGAAGTCTTATCCATTGGCAGTTTTGAAACTTTTAGATTAGATTTAGGCAATAATGGATCCTGTTTTTTCGCATATCTCGGGATGAAGTCCTCGGCATAAGATGACTGTGAAACTACTGGTAGACTTGGTGACCTGTAAATTTCCGTAGGTTTATATGACATTGATGGTTCTGGTGTGACTGGTCTAAAGTCAGTTAGATATGTAGTTTGACTGGATAACGCTTCATCACTAAGCCACCTGTTTTCTTTTTGTTTTATAGGATGTAACTTTTGTGTATACCTAGGTGGAAACTCATCCATATAACTCGTAATCATTTCATTATTAGCACGAGGCAAATGAATATTATCTTGGGGATAGAATGGGTCATCTTTTTTAATGTGCCATGGTCTGTAGTCTGAACTATAGGCAGTAGTGTTTTCCATTTTCATTCTAGGTTTCCGGTACTCATAAACGGGTTTAAAGCTTTCAGGTTTTGAGAATAGATGAGGTTGAAACTCTTCGGAATAACTCGTGTTATTCTGGAATGGTACTTTAGGTTGCTGATAGACATAAACAGGAGAGTAAGACGTTGGTTTCGACTGTGGCTGGAATGTATAGTCCGTTTGATAACTTGTTTGGCTGGACATAGGCTCTGTAGACGTTCTGTACTTTCTATACGGTTTGAAGCAGTGGACAGGTTGGGCCACTTTTGGTGGGTAGTCTGTGATATAACTCGTTTCACTTTGAAAATTGCCCCTTGGAAAAGTTTCATGGTCTTTCATTCGGAAAGGTATTTCTTTAGGTGACCAAGGGGGATCCTCATATTCTAACTGATAGCTTGTTATGTTCGACATTGGCACTGAAGGAGGTACGTAGGCGTCGTATGGTTTAAAACTTCTTTCCATCTGAGAATAACGGGGTGGGTAGTCTTGATTGTAGGTAGTGTTGGTGTCCATAGGTTCTTGTGGAGGTAAATAAAACTCTCTAGGTCTATAATCATTAACTTTATCCAACTTGTAGGGCTGGTAATCATCTTGGTAAGTACTCTCTAGTAAGTCATTTTCATGTGGTGTTTCCCACTGTGAGAGGGGCGTAATCGGGTCTTCTCTATAAAATTTACTATAAGGTTTATAGTCATCCGTATAACTTGTCAAAAAAGGATCAGCCACCGTAGGGTTCAGATTATCATAGTTTTCTGCATTTCTGGCCATATGGTCGTCATCATGTTCCGTAGGATATTTTAGTGTGTCGTTGTACGGATTAGCCATAGTTTCTGTATCTGTGTGTATATTATGGTCATTTTCTGGGGTGTTGTCATATTTCCAGTCATTGGGATAATGTTCTTCAAGCAAATCAGGGTGATAGGGTGGATCTAAATCCCATGACTTTACTGCTTTAACAGACGAAATAAGATTTATATTTGGACTGTTGTAAGAGTTATAATCGCTTATTTTTTGAAAATGTTTATACGCGTATCCATTCTCACTAAGTGTTGGATTTGTTATTATATCACTAGACATGAGAAAATATTTTGATCAAAGCAGGATAATTGATTAAGTAATATCTAAATAAGAATAAAGAGGAAATTGAAAATTACAATCTTCAAAAACCAAAACTTAGTATTTTACAAGACTTGCAAAACACATGCGGATGAATAAGGAAAAGATAACGGTGTATTTAAAAGGCAGCCACAAAAACCTAGAAAACAGGGATGTTCTCAGTCATGAATATTGCAAATTGTTTGAAACTCTGGCTTGGACTCATATTTTACGATCTAACCATATAAACTATCCCCTTTAATTCAAACCTCCAAGGCAAAAGTCGAAAGGGAGTTTCTAAAATAAAAGTTAATTTAATAACGCACCTATAACAAGCTAGGGAGAACATCATACGATAAAGTGAAGGACATTTTTGGACATCTGAAGCCCTACTCGGGGTTGAAGGTTCTTTTCAAAACTCCAAGTTGTTTAAAGGTAAAGATGATAGGCCTATTTATCAGACTAAGATCGACCAAGATAGTCGGAACATGTATTAATCTTTCTAAGTCATAGTTTAATGCTACGGAAGTACATATGAAACGTGGGTAAGCTGATCAAAATTAGTTGACTGTTGGATTGAGCTATATTGAAATGTCCATGTTTCTTGGTTATGGTGAGCGAGTTATTAGTAAATAGTTGATGATGGTCTTTGGTGACATGTTTCAAGATTAGTATCAGTAGGATAGATGTATTCATTCTTATTGTGCCAACTGATACAAATCTTTTTGTATGTCTAAGGGTATTGATACTATTCATCCGAACTGTAAGCGAAGGACGAAATGGATGCTAATTTACCAAAGAGATAGAATAAAATCCATACATATCAGGCGAGAATAAAGATCAAGCCATTGTTAGGATTTCTTTAAGGTAAGGACAAAATGTTATTTGATTTAATTTTCGGCCAAGAATTTGACGGATATGGAATAAGATCCTTTCTTTAACCAAGTTGTTTAAGGTCCCGCTTAAACAATAAATTAAACGATAATCGGCATAATTATTCTTGTCCTCAATAATGAATGAAGCCTAAGATTGCGATCTCTAAGTCGGGTAATAATATTTTCAACGGCATTCTGTTTTACATATAATCAAACATTTATTTAACAAGTGATAACAGTATGTTGGTCGTTTTTAGCATACTTGCAAATATGTTAAGAGTAGTATACAGTGGAAACCAGATTAGTCATAAGAAAATATTTCTGAAGCCTATGGTGAGAATCACCATAAGTATTGACAAAAAGCTTGAATACAGTAACCTAAGATAAGTTCTTTACCATAGTTGTCAATTAATTTACGAATAGTTGTTTCCTGTTTGTAAGTTTTAAAATAGTTGCAATAAACTGATGACGGCGAGAGAATTCATAACAAAGCTTAGAATTCGTTCTTAAGATGAATAGTACATGCTTGCTACTTAGCTATTCCCCTATTGAACACAACATATTTGTAGTATGTAGTGAAGGTATCTCCAAGTTCGAAAGAAATAATAGGGAACCGATTGGAGATATTCTAGACATTTTGTGGGACCCGACAAGTGATGTCAATATTTCCATTCAGCTTTCAGTTAATTTTCAGTAGGTGTTCAGACAGACGAAACGGGTATAAGTCAATACTTACTTGAAGCTTCAATTGAATCAACCGGCAAGCTTCGTCAGCTAGACCAGACTAATCGAATAGTCGAGCAGATATGTTTTACTTGGACAAGTTCGTTTCAGGACCCAGAACTATTACAACAAGTAAACCCTGTTTAAGCTGTCTAAAGTGAATAACGAAACTAATGATTGGTGGAAAAATTACAAAGGGTTTGTAAATTTATCCCAAACCTCCTTTTTAAAAAATGTGCTGACGACCTATGCTATCCATTCACGACTATCTTTAACAGATCCTTCTCATCTAATCTCTTACCGAAAATGCGGGGAAAGATGAAGATAATCCTTGTACCCAAGAAAGTATCTGGTGATAAGAATGTGAAATTTAGACCTATTGCAATAACTTCACCCTTCCTCAAAACAATGGAAAAATTACTAATACTTCCACTTTAGCCTGCGATAAATGAGCATATTGATCCGTATCAGTTTGCCTACAGATGCAAAAGAAGCACCTTAGATGCTATTGCTGTTCTGCATCACAGTATACTGTTCAACATAGAAAAGGGTAAGAAGTATGTTCGATGTGCTTTTCTGGACTATACTTCAGCTTTTGATTCTATACCAAGACAGCGTTTAGTTAACAAATTAATCAGCGTCAACACTGACAGCTGGATAATCAACTGGCTATGTTCCTACCTCTCTGGAAGGGAACAGTACACTGTATTTGGAGGAAAGTGTTCAGATTCTCTACTGTTTCATGAAGGTGTACCACAAGGAGCTGTTCTTTCACCTCTTCTTTTCTCTTTTTTTCTGCATGGTCTGCCATCTTCCACAGAAAACACTTGTGAAATATGCTGATGATCTCACTGTATGTATGCCTATCTCTTCCTCTTTACGTCTCATAGAAATGAATGAGTTTTTGTCTCGTATTGATTGTTGGTAATGGTCTTATACTTAATCCGTCTAAATGTCAAGCTGTTAACTTTGGCATGAGACATGAACGGCATCTAAACACCATTTTGAGATCCGATAATGCTTGTGCTATTGGAGACCCTTTAATAAACACAGTGTCGGAGGTCAATTATCTTGGTGTTACCTTTTCCTCTGATCTCTCTTGGTCTTCTCACGTTTTATTGTTATCGAAGAAGGTTTTCCATCTGACTTACTACATAAAGAGACTGCATGCTCTTGAGATTATTCGACATTTACTCTTACAACTTATCAATTCTTGCATATTACCTATTATTCTTTACTGTTCCTCATTATTCTTTCCTGGGCTTTTGAGAAAAGACTTTGCTGTATTACTGAGAGTGCTGAAGGCAGTTAGCAAGATGTGTGGTGAATCTTTCGAGGTCATAATTAATATTGTTGTGGATAGACATCTAAAGTCATGCAAACTCCTGGCAGGTGTTATTTTATCAGATACTAACCATCCCCTTCACTCTTATCTTTCTCCTTGTATATCTTCTGGTAGGACGAGATGTAATTATATTAAAATCCATGCACGCAAGCAAAAGTATAAAAGTTCTATAATACCTTACCTAGCAAATATACTCTATGACGAACAGGTTCTTAGAGTTAACCTAGTCAATAACCTATATTCTCAACATGTCTTTAATTTGAAAAGTTGTACAGTTTTTCAGATTTTTAAACCTTTTTTCCCTTTTTTTGTCTTTGTTTCTGTTTTTTTTGTGTATAAGAAACTTGTTGAGATACCCTGTGCTGAGAATTCTATATTGTTCCAAAAATAAAATATTGAATAAAGCCATTAATAACAATAATAATTTAGTGAACCAACATCATAGAGCATAATCAATTCAGTATAAAATCACTCAAATTAACGAAATGTACTATTGAGCCAGATGAACATATAAATATTCAAATTGATTATTAGGGTTCGTTAGGCAAATTCATTCCAATTATCACTGATCAGTGTGACATGATTTCACTAACTTTCAGTCTTATATTCCGTTGTCCTCAGATTTTTTTTAAATAATTCACAACATGATTCAATTAATCACAATATAAAAGCTACTTCTGTGTATTTCTGTACTAAACTTTCGCATTAAATGATAAGTCATGCATTTTTTATTTAGTGCATATCAATTTTAACCATTCGAAAACAATGGAATAATTAGTGAGTATAAACAATAAATAACATAAGCCAGGATTAATATGACCGACTGACTCAATAGCATTTCATTTATTCTTGACTAATATGAATTAAAAGTAAATTCTCTCAAATTTCATTACAGGTTTCATTAAATTAAGCAAAAATCATTCATTATAATTATTAAGAAAATTGACTACCTATTTTAATGACATCAGGTAATTTTACCGATTAACGGTTAGTGAATTTGCAAACTATTTTGCACGCCAAATTACAATAATTTAGTACATTTAATCAACCATCAAGTTTTTTAAAACAAAATTGACATAGTATACATATCCGATTGTGTTTTAATATAAAAAACATAACAAACTCCTAATATAAACAAGGGTGGATAGTAACTAGAAGTAGAATCCAGGACGCGCTTTCCGTATTATTTTGGATTCGTCAGCTGGATGTGCTTGCATCCGAGTTGAGGTTCACTCTGGGACCCGAACCCAGTACCGTTGGCTTCAAACGCCATCGCGTTCTCTACTTAGCTGCTGAGTCCTGATAGGCACCTGTTTGTGCAGTGGGGTGATGGACTCATTTGCTAGCCACTATCCATCTCTGCTTATAATGTTTGTGAATTAAGGCAATATGGAGGCAATACACACAGTGTGCACATATGCCAATAAGAGACTGATCACTCACAGTCCTAAACATTAATGGGAAGATTCAAGTAAATAATACCAAATGAATTTAAACTTCTAATATGTTATGTTTCAATACAAGTTAGTATAAATGAGTAAGTAAGTAACATCTGAACGGATAAATATTATAAAAACAAAATTATCTTAGTGCATTGCAGTTGGATTTTGAGTAAGTTATTTATTGTTAAAGTGAATGGTCTGTTCATATTTCAACACTGAAAATGTTCTCATAAGTTAATTGTTTATAACTCTTGAAAATTAAGAACATGAAATTTGTGAGTTAAAAAGTGATAAATTTCAAACATGTTTTATAAATCTATAATATAACGACAATGAATGAAGTTGAAAGAAAAATCTTTTATTAGTAGAACTAAAGTCGATGGTTTACAGAAGACCAAGTCATACGAAAATTTGGTTATCTGTAGATGGCATTCGTCAGAGACTGATTTCAACTGGGTGACCATTACAAAGTCAAGAACGCTTGAAAAGTTGCTTAGTCCTAGTATGTGGCTCTAGAGAGGCGAAGGCCGATGATAGCGTCAGAGAACAAACTTAGGACCTTTATATCTCTTGTCAAACTATTTATCGTTAGACTTCTAAACTGAGGTCCACTGATACACCTCAACTTTGTTTAATTTTCG